CCAGTTTTGATGGTATTGTACGTCTTCAACTGGCAACTATTGCCTGTTTTGGTAGTCTTGCTAAATATTTTCTCCAGATGTAGCTTGTGAAGGATTCTTTTTTTCAATCTCAAAATCTGTAAGAGGTTTGCATATGTTAATGGAAATTAGGCACAAAAGTGTTAATGCTAAATCCATTGCTATAGAATTGTGACTTTGATTTATAACCATACCCTCATAGGAAATCTGAATTTCCTTTCAGGCCAGGTTCCTGCGACGACTAACCCCACCTTACTGGAGTGTTTCCAAACATGTTTCCTCTTACAACCGGACAGGTATTTATTGCTCTCATACACCTGATATTTATGAGCTTGCTTTATGTGCTGTAACTTTGTTTAATTTTGGTTTGCTGCAGCCATTTTGTGCTCTCCCTGTTATGCCGGTTCAGGCAATGACTCAGCAGGTTTGATGGTTATGCATGTTATGTTGGGTGTAACTTTTTTTAGAAAATGCTTCAGAGATTTTTTATTTTATGTTGTGATTTCAGGCTACTAGGCATGCTCGTCGTGTCTATGTTGGAGGGCTTTCTCCTACCTCTAATGAACAGGTTCTACCTTTAACTGTTGTACCATTATTGCAGTTATGATTGAATAGAACCAACACTGACCCTTGCTGTTTATTACAGTCGGTGGCAACCTTCTTCAGCCATGTCATGGCTGCAATTGGTGGAAACACTGCTGGTCCAGGTATACTTGGGGTTTTTCCATGTATTACTTGACTGAGCTACCTGCCTTAATTTTCTTTTTATAACTGCTTATTGTTTTTTTTTTGTTTACATATTCAGGTGATGCTGCTGTTAATGTGTACATAAACCACGAGAAGAAGTTTGCTTTTGTAGAGATGAGATCTGTTGAGGAGGCTAGTAATGCAATGGCTTTAGATGGGATTATCTTTGAGGTATTTTTACATTCTTTTGGATCTGAAGTCAAATTCTTTTAATTGCTGTAAATTGTATTGATTTGTTTAGTTGTTTACCTTTTAGGGGGCACCGGTGAAGGTGAGGAGACCTAGTGATTATAATCCATCGCTTGCTGCAACACTTGGTCCAAGCCAGCCAAATCCCAATCTTAATCTAGCTGCTGTAGGTCTAAGTCCAGGTTCTGATGGTGGGCTTGAGGGCCCTGACCGTATATTTGTTGGTGGGCTTCCCTATTACTTTACAGAAGCACAGATCAGGGAGCTTTTGGAATCTTTTGGGCCTCTTCGAGGTTTTGATCTAGTAAAAGATAGAGAAACCGGAAACTCTAAAGGCTATGCATTTTGTGTTTATCAAGATCTGTCAGTTACAGATATAGCTTGCGCTGCTCTAAATGGAATTAAGATGGGTGATAAAACGCTCACTGTAAGACGAGCAAACCAGGGTGCTACCCAGCCTAAACCCGAGCAAGAGAGTATACTCCAGCATGCACAGCAGCAGATTGCTTTGCAGGTTAAGATTATAATTCTTTTATTAAAATCATATACCATCATATCTCTTGCAATTTTGGTTTTATTAGGTATGGTTTGTTAGCTAATTTGTTTATTCTTTTTGTTTTCCAGAGGCTTATTTTGCAACCACAAGGCGTGCCAACAAAGGTTGTGTGTTTGACTCAAGCACTTAATGTCGATGATCTCAGAGATGATGATGAGTATGAAGACATCGTGGAAGATATGAGACAAGAGGGTGGAAAATATGGTAAGATCCTTAAACAATCTGACGCCTCTATTTTAACATGTGACGTATCTTTTTTTTATTAATTTTTTTATTTTCTTTTGTGTTTATATTTCTGTTTTACAGCACATTCTTGTTCTACATTCTGCTATAAAGAATCAAGCCTAACATACTCAGACAGAAGACTTGCTAACCCTCTACCTATATATATTTGACACTGTTTTCTCTAACTTGTTCTTTGGAATAAAATTTGTTTTATTTTCCCTCTGTGGAATCGAATTTTTTTACACGAAATATGCAGGTGCATTGGTGAATGTTGTCATTCCACGCCCAAATCCAAATGGAGAACCCTTCGCAGGTGTCGGGAAGGTCAGTTTTGATGCCTTTTACATGTTCTTCAATTTTATTTTTCTTAACCCCCCCATCTAATACATGTTGGACACTATCATATTCGACCGAGTTTGTTCCTAAGTTGCTCCATGTATTACCCCCTGATGTTACCGACTGTTATTCTCCGGTGCCATTAGGTATTTCTGGAGTACTCGGACTTTGAAGGTTCCAAAAAAGCACAAGCGGCAATGAATGGTCGGAAATTTGGTGGAAATCAAGTAATTGCCGTCTGCTATCCGGAGAACAAGTTTGCACAGGGAGAATATGATGGCTGATTATGTAAAAAGGATAGCGTTGTGCTTGTATTGATTCTATGGTTAGGTTTCTTTTCATTATGAGGTTCTTAAAGGTCTCTTTTCATTACGTGGTTCCTAAGGAACTCTCTTAGTGGCAGCCTGTCATTTATCAAAAGATATTGGGACATATCATACGTCTAGATCAATCTGTTTGTTTAGTTCATGATTTTGATTGAATCTTTTGTTGGAGTTGAAGCGCTATGCTTTTAAACTTTTGGTATAATTAATTTGTTTTGCTTTGATTATTAAAATATATTTAGTTTGTAAAAAAGTTACGGAATAATGAGTTCATGAATTCAATATAAAATATTAAAATAGTTTGCCTAAAATATATAAATACACAACCAAATTAAATCATCAAAACTCTCATTTATTCATTATCTTACATGTTAAAATTTTACGAATCAAATACATAAATGGTTCAGTTCATGAGGATTCAATTAATCCGGTAGTCTTGAAGTGGCTCAATACGCAAGGCATTGTTGGGGTTGCATGCGATTTTCTCACATTGTCCTTCGGACTGAGCTAGCTTACATGTGTATTTGGCGCTCCTCTGGGCCGATATCCTTCCTATAATGTTATTCCTCATTCATCTACTACCATTCTTTAACTGGTATGGTGTTTGTCAATTTCATATTTTTCTTTCAAGCTCTTTCGTTGGTTCTTGTTCTATTGAGGTGACGTCTTCCTATCATCTTTCGATCTGGCACTCCATTCCATAAGGCTTAGAGTTAAATCTTCTTGCTTTGGTCTATTTTGCTTTCAACTTTGGGGTTTTAAGGTAAATTTGCATGTATGGATTTTCTGATCACGACTGATTCTTTTAGTTATAAGTTAATCGATGTTTATGGTACCGATGTTGATGTACAATAGATGAGATGGTGGTTTACGGTTGTAAAAACAGTGGAATATGAGATGGGAAGACCTATTGTTTGTGGTACACCTCTTATATTATGGATGGAGAGCCACAAGTCAACCGAGATCCTGATTCAGAGATCGAGTGTATTCTAAGAGAGTTTCTAGAGAGATCAAGATAATCCCACTTGGTCCTAGAAGAATTATATTACATACTTCGCATGTTTGATTATCACGTGACCACCTATTCATAGGACGAGCTGCGTCTATGAGGTTAGGGCCACTATGTGGGTGTATTGAACTACATGGATTATTAGTTATTGGGCCACATAAAGTGATTCAATATATGTCATGAGTGATCTAGAAATAGAACCCTTTTGGAGTTGCGAAGGATATAACAAGAAATATTACTTTGACTATTCATTTTTCTTAAGTGCTCTTGTCCCAAGATCTCCAAACATTTAAACAGCTCCACGACTCTCAACCTCTCCTTACCCCATTTCTCACACCACGTTTCCCCTTCCCTTTTCCTATCTCTAAGTCTCCTCGCCCACCATCGAACTATTTGGTTCCCCCTGCCCACACAAGAGATTCGTAAACCATAACTAAATCAATCCTAACAACAGAAGATAGAACAAGGGGGAAAACCAAGAGGCAAAAAAAGAATATGCTAACTGACACCAAGAAAGACCGCATTCTCAACAAACATCCATTTGCAGCTAACTAGGATATTGGTCATCTTTCCAATTTTTCATTAATAGTTTTGTGGCTTAATGTATCTATTTATAAACAGGAACGTAATCAATACTTCATTAATTACATGTTCATAATTCGATTCCCGCTCTATCCTATTTGAAGCTAATTAGGATATCGGCATCTTTTCATTTTTTCACTTTGCCTGCAGCTTAGTTAAGTTTTTCCAATAATTCCAACACCAAAAGCCTAAAGGGTTTGCACCATAACTCTATGTTTAACCTGTTCTGTAGGCATGCTTCATATATCCATAATCAACTATTAACAAGGGTTTCACACGATGGCCCATGTTCCCTTTCCCGTCTCCAAATCTCCTCCCTCCCATCCCTCCACAGTCTTCTTACCGACCCTCAAGCTCTTTGGAATCCCCTCCCAGATAAAGTAAACTGTGCCACTACAGCAATATTAACAACAGACAGTAGAAGCAAAAGCAACGGAAAAAAATATAGATGAACAGGCACTCACACCATGTAAAACTGGATTCTCAAGCAAAAAAACATCCATAAGCGATGCCATTTTGAATCTGATTGTAGAAGAAAGGACATAACATATTTTATGGCTTAATGCATATGTAAAAAAAAATGGAATCAGTATTTCACTATCTTTTATAATTTGATTCCCCATTATCCTATCAATGGATATAGTATAGCAGTTCTCTATCAAATAAGATTACATAGTTATGATATGTATCAATGAAACAAATATCTAACATGCCTGTAAAACAAAGTGAACAGAAGTATACCTTTTACTCTCTTGATGCTGGAATTCTTGGATTATCTTATCAACCACAAAGAAAATTTAAACATTTTGGAAACCTGTATCCAATACTCACACTCGAGTTCAAATAATAGGTCTCTCGAGTCATCCTCAATATTAGGGGAACATTATTCCTTGATAGCAAGAACTTAGGTTAAATTCATCTTTAGCTATTACATATCATATAATACCAATTACATATATTATTTAGGTTAAATTCATTTTTAGCTATTACATGTCATACCGATTGCATATATTATTTAGAATCAAAACAATTTATCTTCTACAGCAACACGTATATGTACGGAAAATGTAGAAAATATACAAAACCGATATATAGTCCCATCAAATTTGTTCATCGCATCCATAACAAAGGTCATAAACCAATATATGAAAACAAGAATTAGGTGCTATTACTTGTGCTGGGCCTGCAGTTATCCTTGGAGAATCGCTGCCGTTCGATGGATGGCTATGATGATCAGGACAGTCGTCATCATCGCTGTCGTCTTCATCAAAGGATTTTTCTTTGTGGTAAATGCAGCAGATCTTAGAGCTCTTCTTGTTCATGAATTCGTTGTCGATTGTTCCTTCTTTCCAAGTAACTTTCTTTTTCCTCGGACGGAGTTCGAGGACGAGGGCTTCTTGAGGTCGCGACAAGGAGGAGGAGGAGGCAGCTGAGCTGTTATCGATCGTCACGGTGGTGGTGACGGAGGAGGTCGACGGTGATGCCCTGCTTGATGCCATTGCTGGAGAGATTACCGCCATTGAATTTCTTTCTTTTATTTTATGAAATCGGCGTTGAATTTCAATTGCGATGTTGTATTTGTTATTTTGTGCGTGCAACATAAGCGGCTATGTAATTATTTATTCATGGCTTAAATAGTCAAAAGTCCTCCAAAAATAAAAATAAAAATAAAAGTTAATTAAATAAATAAGTGTTAAAATTTTATTTTTTTGTTTAAGTGTATATATTTTTATTTACAGTACATATTAATAATTTATTTCATTATTATTTAAGATCAAACGGTTAATATTCAATAAAAAATAATCATCCAATCATCATTTAATACATTATTTGATTTATAATTTTATTTATTTATTATTTAAAAACGTATAATTCTTAAATTTAAAAAAAAATAAACACTGCTTAAAAAAACTATAAAATCTTTCTTCATTCTCTTCATATGTCATCGTGGAATGTCATTGGTTTCATCATAAGGTGTTCGTGTGTCGTCTATTGATTTATATCAATACAAGTCATTCGTTGTTGGTTTCACGATGTCTCGTTCGTCAATTTACAATGACAATAAAGTGAAGTAATCAATAATAAAGGCCTGGTAATAAATGAGGTGGGTGATATTGATTTGACGATATGAGAAGGGGTTAGGAGTTTTATATATATTTTTAGAAATTAACTATTTTAATTTTTATAAAATAAATAAAATTTAAAATAATTTCACATGTATGCTTTTATTTGGTGGCAAATTTTTTAACAGATGTCAAGTGTTCAACCTTAAAATGATAATGAAATGAAATATTATTCGTTTAGTCATTTACTTTGACAAAAAAAATGTTAAACACCTCAAGTAAATTAAAAATATATGTTAAGCACTTATTTATTTAATAGGTAAAGTATATAAATAGTCCTATGATTATAGGATATTGTTTTGTTGAGTCTTCCAATTATTAAAAGTTACAAAATGGTCCCTCAATTATAGGGATTATTTTGTTGAGTCTCTCGACTATTAAAAGTTACAAAATGATCACCCGACTATTCAATGTGTTCCAAACTCGTCCTTTTTCGTTAAAAAAATTAACGGTAGTTTAAGCTAGACTTTAACCTGTTGATCGAGATATGATAAAATTTGATATCATAATCTAAAATGACTATCATATCTCATTTAGCATGTTAATGACAAGCTAAAACGACCGTTAATTTTTTATCGAAAAAGGACTAGTTTGGATCATAATGAATAGTTGGGTGATCATTTTATAACTTTTAATAGTCGAGGGACTCAACAAAATAACTCCATATAGTCGGGGGACCATTTTGTAACTTTTTTAATAATTGGAGGACTCAACAAAGTAGTATCATAAATAAACCCTAATTGAATATAATATTCAATTAAATCCCTTAAATTGTAAATTGTAATCAATCGAGTTCTTTTTCATTAATGCTACTAATGTTTTATTAAGTGATGATATGAAAGGTAATGTAACAGATGATGTCGCAATTGACATGAGATGAATGATGGCGTGGTAGCTGATGTGAAAAAATTATGTCACTAGAGAAAGAGAGATATTCATAAGAAGAAAATAATATCAATTGTTTATTTTCATTCAAGGATCCTAAAATACTGTAAAATTAAAAGTTTCATATTATTTATAAGTGAATCTTAACTTTAATATATATGATAAATGAAAAACAACAAACAAATTCAGAATCAAAATTATAAAAACCATAGATATCCAACTTGAAGAAAAGTTCTTTGATTCATATATGTAGGTAATCTTTTTAAAAAGACCAAGAAAACAAGGATAACATCTCACATACATGTTTACAGGTATCGAAACTACGCAGGAATATATCCTGAACTATGTTTATTCCCATTGTAAAGGCTAACTACATCGGATTCAAGCACTGAAGTAATGGAGCTCACATCTCAGCAACCAGTTTCTCTGAATCACCGGCTTCAGATAGTGTACTCTTGGTCCATATTTTCAGCATCTCCAATGCTGCCTTGGGCTGGTCCATAGGAACCATATGACCCGCATCGTGAACCTGTTTGATTATCATGTAGTTATATCAGCACCGTTGCAAAGATAATCGATACAACTATAGATTAATAGACGGATATGGTCAGTTGAGAGATGACCTTAAGGAAACCGAGAGGTCCGTGAGTTTTCAAGACTCCGGCTTCTGAGCCGTCAACTATAAAAAGAACCTCAGGAGATGCTACAAACTCCTTCTGACCAGACCATTGCATAGCATGAACCCATCTTGAATTGCCTGTTGAAGTACAATAATATGTAGCGATATAAATAAAAAAGTAATTACCCCGATAAATATGCTATTATCTCTTCATTTTTCTATAAATAATTATGTCCAACATTCTTGTCGGATGTATAACGGGTAAGGTAGGAGGATATGACCCATGAAATACATTAATAAACATAGAAAGAACATAACACAAACGTGTTGGACACGTGCTCATATCCGACACTTGTACCTGAATCCAACACTACGGATATGCTCTTATCCCTAGAACATGAAACAGAAACTACTTACCAAGCCAGTTGCAAATGAGATAATATTCCCCAGCATATACAAGAAGCTTTATTCCATCCTCAAGGAGATTGGGAATGGGAGCTTCGAGATTCCTCATCCAGTCAACTAGCATGGCCTGATAGACTGTAGGGCTGCAGGACACAAAATCTATATTCCCAACACCAAGGGCATCCCTAACAGATTTCTTGTTAAGAAATGTCTCGATGTTCGAGAAGTCATAGCAAAGGCCCCCTTCACATTTCTTTCTAAGATCATAGTACTGAAGACAGGAAAGGATCAGAGCATCTAATTTTATTCAAAGAATCACATCAGAGCATGATTACTCTTCTCAACAGCTTATTTGCAACAAAGAGTTTCATTATAGGTACATTGTTTAACAATGGGAAAAATTATTGAGGTATCATTTGCATATAAATTCGGAAAAAAAGAATATCAATGACATAAAGGTCATAAATCTGGCCCTACTCTACCATTAATAAACTGTTTTTTTACTCCTTTATTTCTCCTCCTTTAGACATTGTTTACACATCTAGACATCTTATACAAAATATAGTTCAACACAGCAAGAAAAAGAAGCCCATTCTACTTTACAAGATATTGAGCAAATAATCAAAAACAGAAAAAGAAAAAACACAAGCCATTTATGCAAGTAATTCATAGTATATGTTTCTAAGCACTAAAAGATGGTGTCACTTGAGCAAAGCAAATAATTGAATAAAATAATAATGTAACAAAAAGAGAGAGTAGCGATTGTTCTCTGCCTCTCACTGAACAAGATACCAAATCAAAATTTATAAAATAAAAATATAAAATGTCCCTTACATTAGTATCGCCAGCAAGTTTCATGATTTCTTCGATTGTCGAATTGCAGACAAAATATAAAGCCATGCAAGAGATTGTACCATCAGTGCCTGAAAATTTTTATTTCCAAAAAAAATGTTGAGGAGACGAGCAGCAATGGTTCAATTTGTGATACACCTTAATAGTGTAAAAAGAAAAATAAAAGAATCAATCTCTATATCCAGGCTTTGGAGTTTGAAACAGTAGACCTGAATATAGTGAATGGTCTTAGGAATTTGGATGCAAACTTACCGCAAAGTTTTATAGCCATCTCACAAACGGGAACCATCTTGTTGATACGATCATAATCAGACTTCTTAATTACCCCCATGTCCAAAGCATAATCAGTGTAAGCTTTACAGTGGATTGCAGGATTTGTCAGGCCATTACCAATAGCAAATCCCTGTTAACCACATTGTCGTTGAAGCATGCAAAAGGAATTAGTTCCAGACAAAGTTGTAACTTTGAGAAAATTTAAAAACAACTTAAAGAAGCTTTCACACCATATAATTAGTAACACACCTTTAGGTTTATATGAATTCCCCCCTTAGCTTTGTTTCCTTGGTGTACTCGGCCAGCAAAAGCTGGAATGTAGTGCCCCGCATATGATTCTCCAGTTATGTAAAAGTCATTATTTGCGAACTCAGGGTGCTCCGAAAAGAATGCCTAGCATAATAAAAGAGAAAAACCCAGTCAAAACAACTTATTTATTTCTCCTCAACAATTTCATAATATGAACTATAAATAATTCAGTAGACAAATAATTATGCTAAAATCATCTTCCAAGATAAGCAGACACCTGTAAGAAATCATATAGGTCATTGCTAACTTCATCTTCGTTATGACGAATGTCTCTTTGGTCAGAACTGTAACTAAATCCAGTACCAATAGGTTGGTCCACATCCAGAAGGTTCGATGCCTACAACAAAAAATGGAGAAAAACAAATTTAATCACTCGTCAGTATCTCAAAGGTGGAAACTACTTGATATTACACTAGTATAAGAAAGATAAGAAATTAATCATTGATTGTGCAGATACCAAATACTAAAGAAGAAGAAAAATACCTTGTCCCAACCATACTCGTTCCAAACAAGAGACACGTTATCAGCAATGGTGAAGGGACCATTGTCATAAAACACGGCCAGTTCGCTACCACACCCTGGCCCTCCAGTCAACCAGATAACAACAGGGTCCTTTTTGCTATTGCGTGATTCGAAGAAGTAGAACATTCTGCCAAAAACAGCAAGATGTTAACCCACTACAAAGGTAATTCATTAATGATATGATTGGGACGATGAATTTGAAGATTTGGATTTCGACTTTCAATATGACTACATATTGAAAGGTACAAAAATACTAGAACTTCAAATTGCCAAATATCATTAAGAATTTCAATTTCATCACTAATAAGCATCTAAAAACTCATGAATTTGAGAAACAATCATGGATGTTATGTTTATATTTGTTTTACCACACAACTTACATACACTATTTTTAAAATTCAAATCCATCTTTTGAAAACAGAAAATAACTAGAACTCAATGGATCCCAAATCCCGGCTCAAACTGAACACAGAAACTAAGAAAATTTCCCAATTTAGAGAAATGTTACTCCGTTCAAAATCAGTATCAAAACATTCTCATTTCGCTTCTCTATATTTATCTAGGATTTTTTTCCCACAAGATTCACTCAAAATCGACAAGAATTCATTTTTAAGTCAATGAACTAATACTTCGATCTTTTACGATGACGGTCATTGATGCTAATTTTGAGGCATGTTGTTTGTCTTTTCGAAATAATACTTTATCATCGTTCGAAATTTCGATCAAGCATCACAAATCTAAAAAACCCCCCAAAAAATCCCAAAAAAGTAGATGAAATACTAATATTTTAAATGTGTTCCGTGAAAAATCAATTATATGAGAAGAAAGATGAGTGAACCACAAATATATTTTGTGTCGATCTTGTTGCGAAAGGCATCCGGTAACAGATAATGATTGATTGTCAACCATTGACGAAAAAATACAATGCCAAAAAATGAATTGTTTAATAGTTATTGGCAAAAATCAATGCACCTTAATTTTTTTTACCTCAGTGGTTAAAGAAATCGTGGTTGTTCCTAGAGGTCAAAGGTTTAAGCATCAACGACTGTAAGGATGATTGAATGTTCATTGTCCAATAGTTGAGAGTATTTAAAACATATACTATTTCGTAATTACCTTTAACTTGCACTTTAAAGTTGAGTGTTTAAAACAACATTGTTTTAAATATTAATAGTCGCATTAAAACGATATTGTTTTGTCTATGACATCACACCAATTGAATTTTAATGTCCCCTTAACATAATTGAAGTTAAAACTAAAATTCAATATTATAAGTATAAAAATTAAAATTTTAGCAATATAAACAATACACCCCTTAAAATTTACTTATGTTTCGTGTAGATTTTTAAAAAAATAAGTATGATACAAATACTCTTTTTGTAATTAACAACAACAACAACAAAACCCTATTCCCATATGCAATGGGGTAAGGGGGAGGTAGAGTAGTAGGCTGCCTCCAACGCATGGTTAAGAGCAGATTCCGTGGAAGACCTCCGGCAGTCAGAAAATTAAAAATAAAGATAAAATGTAATGCATGTATAAATAAATAAGTAAATAAATATTTGAACAGTCTTCATATACAATCTTCATATGCGCGTCATATAATAGGAAATAATCCTTGCTAATAAATCCCTGCATAATAATCTCAGTACATAGATAGAAACCTAACACTCGACTAAGAGGAAAATGTGACAAAATCTTTCTTAAATTAGGTGTGTTGAAAATTACGAAAAAGTAAATGAGACAGATTTTAAAGTGACAATCTTTCTAAGTAACATCTTTCTAGGGTATCTGTTTGATGTTATTATGGCATTGGTGTTGACGTGTGGTATCTTTATGTACGGCAAATTTGAAGTGTTTTATGATTAACAAAAATATTTTTTTCACTAAATTTAATTAAAAATATTAACAATATTTTAATAATAAATAATTTTATTCAAAAGTTAGTATATTAAAAATTAAAAATTATTATAATAAAACCTTAAATAAATCTATAAATATTAATATAAAATTTTAATAATTTTAATAATATATAAATTTAAGATTATATAGATTCAAAATTTTAAAATAAAAAAAATTGAATTCAACTTAATTAAACCCAACTTTAATCCACAACTCTAAACAACATTAGAATATGTTATCAAAAAGATCTATGAGAACTGTTTCTTAAATCCGAAAGAGAGTCACGATTGTCCATAATATTAAATTAATAGTTTCAACATAATATTTATATTAATTATATAAACATAAGACATATGTAATAATTTAGTTTTTTAGGAAATTGTTTTAAAATAAAAAAATCGTAAGAAAATGAATGTGAAGATAAAATTAATCGTATATAAAAATTACTCTAGTTTATACATAACACGAAACAGTAATATATAAATATTAAAATAAAATAATATTAATGTAAACTATTTTTTTATAATTTTATTTATATCATTAATAATATTCTATCTATTACTTAATTAATTCAAATTTACTTATCACATTCAGTGTCACAGACAACGTTAGTTTTTTCTAAGACTGGTTTAGATGAGTGAGCGAAACTTAATTTCATTCGAAAAATCAATTTGACTCAATAAAATAAAGATAAAATTTGAATGATAAAATATGAATCACCAACTCGATTAACTCAATTTTTTAACTTGAATTTTAGTATGTTTCTTTTAAGTTTATTTTCATTTTAAGTTTATTTTTTGCCAAATTTGAATCGTATACTCCTCTAACACTATAAAATATCTATATAAAATAAATTATTATTTTAAAAAAATAAATTCTCTTTTTACAATTTAGTCCTTCAATTTTATATTTTAGTTATTTTAATTTTTTATAAATTCTTTCTTCCATCTATTTCCTTAACCCTTTATATTTTCATCAATCTTTTTCTCGAAATATTTTTTTTACAAAATAATATTTCCTTTGTTTATTATGCGCTGATCGGTGATTGGTTGATCGAACTGGGTGACCTTGGCGCAAAGTGTAAATATGGATGGCCACTCAAACACTTATCAACTGAAACAGAACGCTATCAAGAAAATTGAGAGCCAAAGCTTTTGAACTGCGAAACTAGTGAGGAAAAATTAAAAAAAGAAATGGCTTTTAGTGTTGGGTTTCGTTTGAATCTTCTGGGAAAGCCTCAATCTTCTTTAATTCCTTCAGTTTCTTCATTTTCTGCTAAGAATGTTGTTTTTGACCGAATGAAGAAATTCCACAGCTCCATTGCACTAACAAGAGCATCATCTGAAGGTTTGCTCACCTTCCAAACTCAGTTCCTGTTTTCTTAATGTTTTTAGACTTTCATCCTTTTTGTTTAAGATGGGTACTATTGTTTTGAACTCTGGTTAAGGCTGTTGATTCCCCTTGTTTTATTGGCGTTAATTATCGTGTATTTTCAGAGGTGGACCGAGACGTGACCTGAAAATTTCAAATTATGACATATTTTAGATATTTTTTCTATTGATAATATGTTTTCATCTACTAGAATTTTAGAGTATTCAGAGTGCGAGTGTCAGAAATGAATATAGTATGTTTCTTTATTGGTCGGAAACATATCCATACATGATACTCGTCCTCAAGTCTAAGCAACATTGACCGAACCAATTCAATCTAATTTGTTAGCTTCTTTGCAAATTTCTCATGCTTAAGAGTTTGTCTTTGATGTGTTTTTGCAGGACTACCCAGTGAACTAGACGAGGATTCGAAGTTTGTTCCGTTGAATGCTGATGATCCCACATATGGTCCACCTGTAAGTTCCGGTCAGTTTCTTATCTCATTTTTTAGTGAATCTTTGCTCTATATCAAATAATAACCATTCTTATAGAAATCATGCACACTTGAATTTGAGTGTAAGTGTTGGATTTTTATTTTTCTCCTATTTGGAAAGTTCTGAGAGGTTCATATCTCAACTCATAATATCAAATTATGCATTGGATAAAGATATTTCAAAAAAACGAAAAATCAAAGCAATGGAGAACTAGACAATGAAGTTTCATCATGCATCATGAACATAGACTATGTTGCTTGGACCCTGGTACAAGCATCTGATATTTATTCGTATCTAAAACTGGCATGTTCAATTTTTCCTAAATTTTCTCATATTCAGGAACTCTTTGAAAGGTCTACCCAACACCCATATCCATATGTGTCAGATACGGATACTTAAAAACAATTGAAGAGCTAAGCAACAAAATATAGAACATAGACACGGTCTGAACCCATTTGACATTTCTGGGATTTTTAATCTTTGCTTGTTTCGTAGGCTTTATTGTTGCTCGGATTTGACGTCAGTGAGGCTGAGAAGGTAATGTTTGGTAACTTTTGCATGTCAGTTTGGATGAAACTTCATTGTCTGTGGTACATTCGTTTTAGAGCTTTATTATTGTATGCCCATGGCGAACTACGTAGATTGTTGCATGGCAAATATTTTTAGGCGTTTCATTATCTTATGAAGGGTAAAGCGGAAACTGAGGGAGGGAAAATCCTCTCCTCCCCCTCTGGGGGTGGTTTAAGACTGTTACAGTGACTTGAAGTTGTGTATCTTAATACGGGTATGTGTTTGATATAGGTAATGCTCGTTATTTTTTACTAAGTTTCTCGATGTACGTAGAAGATTGTACTTCCATACTCATGTTTGAATTTGTCAAAAAGTATTGTATTTCCATATCCATGCTTGGATATGTGCTGGACAAGGGTATTCATTCAAGGAAAATGAAGAGTCGGAGTGAGGTTTGTGGAAGGTTGAACATGAATTTAAGACCCCTTTCTTGGAGGGGGTATGCAGGGGGGAAAGGTCTTTAAATTATATCCTTTTTAAGGATTTAGTTAAAGTCACCTTATGGTATATACTATTAGTACATTCTTGCATGTTCGAAATAAACCCATCTAGTATAGTCACGGCATGCACCTAGGCGTGTTACGCCTTACGTAGTAGTTAACGTGCAGCTTAATGTGTGTGTTTGTGTTGGACTAATTCTTAGGATCGTGGCCTTACTCATCTTGCTAATTCCCCATGCCTTCTTTGAACAGATACGACTGTTCTTGAAAGAATTGGATGGTGAATTCTTAGAGGTAAGGATTTAATTATTGTCGTTACCTTTGTTGCTCTGACTCTTCATTTTTTTCTTTCTAAAGAATCCATATTTGACACCTGTTTTCGACACATATTTGGATATGGACATAAAAGCATGAATTTCCAACTACATGGAAAAACTTAGAAAAATTTGAACATACCTGTGTTAGACATATACCCGTATACTACACGGACCTCGAATCTGGGTAACATGCTCTTTACATTTTCTTTTCCTCTAAATACTAAAACCCCTCATGAAGAACTTTTTATAGAAAGCCACCAAAAATTTGCATTATTATGTGGAGTTCATTAACTTTCTCAAAGCAGAACCCTTCTCATGCCTTAAGGATGTGTTCTTTTTGAAATTCTACTATTGCAAACGTCTCATCTTCCCCATTGATTTCCACATGAGAAGAAAGGTTATGATCTTCATTCTTGCTTGTGGTGTCAATTCCATCCTTCCTGGAAAGTAGAATGTTCATGTTCTTTTCAAGTTTCATGTATTTGAAGTATTATATCACCATACTCATATTCGGTGGACATTAATAATTTAAGAAAAATGAAAATTCGGAGTAACATATATTATGAGAGCTGCTTCACATATGAGAAACATGTTGCAATATATTTTCTTTTCTTATTTAAATGTTCATATGTTCAGATTATTTACTGTACTGAAGACATGATTAATGGTTCACTTTGGGAGGCCGTGAATACTAGGCAGCCTAATTTGGAACAAGTGAAGGTTGATTTCTTCACGCTTTCTTTTTTCTGTTTTTCCAGTCATTTTCCTTGGCTCATAATCATGTTTAAATGTGATTTACTACATTACATTCTGCAGATTGCAAAATCACTGCCAAGGATCTGTATTTTCTCTGGTCTTAGTGGTGAGGAGATGATGATGTTCATCGATGCTTTCCCCGAGACTGGTATTCAACATTTTTTTGCCTACACTAAGTTTCCATTTTAATCCTGAAGTACTTTTCTCAACACATACCCCGATATATTTGTAAGCAGGATTACAGCCAGCTGTATTTGCTGCTCTTGTTCCCAACAGTGCTGATAAATCTGTTGCTGAGTTGATAGATGAAATTATGGGAGACCATGAGATGCTGGTGAGTCAGTCTTCCCTGTGCAATAGATGAATCTGTTGTACTTTCCATGAAAAATGGAAGTACCCGAATCCTAAGATCGTTATCCTGCTACATAACTTATGTTTTCGAGCGCCTTCCATGCAGGCTGCACAACGATCAGGTTCCGCATAACATGTACACTACCCCAACTGCAGTGGTGTTTTTCAGGGATTTAAATCCACTCCCCTGATGCCGAGACAAAGCAGAGCAAACCAGCTACTTAAGTGCTGCAATATTGGCTGTAATCTGATGATCAAACTCCAGTAGTTCACGGTTCTAATATTAAATAATGGAAACTCATCTCATATTTTTGCCAGGCTTGCCTGTAATTTGTAAACAACAGTTCTTCTTATCTTTAAGTTACTCTTAGTCCTGCCACCCTTGCAAGATCTTGAACAGGAAATCTTAATTCCTCTCCACATATACTTAAACAGTGAAGAACGATAGCAAGGTTCATGGCATTTCAGTTTACTTCTACATTTTGGGCAATCTCTCTGAAGTAAACGAATTTAACTAACTGGTTTTTTATGGAGTTTATGCATGTGAAATAGGAAACAAACAACTATATTTCCCACCAAAATTAATATGTGATTTGCTTAACTATGCATTCGAGGTAACAGATAAATCCGCAACAAAACTATGAAAAGTTAACACATCTATGAATTCCTGAAAATATAATTCAATACTAACAAAATTAGCATCTCTCATTCAAGTTTCAAATAAAAAAAGCATAACGACTGGTGTTATATCGTTCAACTAGAAAAAGTCTATAGTACTACAACATAGAAAGGAGGGAAAAACAACAACAGGAAAGAATTAGGGTGTAGAGGGTAGACAGAATCAAAGATTACGCTTCCCCCTGATCTTCCCCTTACCACCGGAACGGCGCTTCTTTTTGGCTAATTTCAATTTCCTTTTGTTCTTCTTTCCTATTCCACCCGCAGCTCTCAGGGAGGCCTTGGTCTTGCCATCGTCACTGTCATCCATCTCCACTGCCATGGCGTTGAGATCGATTGTTGTTGTCGTTGTGGAGGCGGGAACTTCTTCTTCCAGTTGCATAGAAGCAGAGACCGGAAGCTTAGGGGCAGCGAGGGCAGCTTCAATGGCGGCCATCTTGGCATCATCTTTCTTCTGGTAGAAGGGTTCCACTATTTCCCTCCTTATGGCTCTCAGCCTCTTCTCTCGCTTTGATCTCATCGACTTCGCCATTTTCTCTCCTTAATCAAAAATATTCCTAGGGTTTCTATCGATATATCATCGTAGTCAGGAAACTAGGGCTTTTAATATATAGCGAATCAGTCTCTAGCTTCTTGTTTGGTTGTAGGGCTGCCTTTATCCTAATACCTTATCCCCTCCTCTTTGTTAATACGGTTTCTTCCAACGCACCGTTTCACATATTATTTATGGCGCAAGGGTAAAAATCAATTATAATATCCTTTCCCTTATTTATTTAATTTTTTATTTTCAATATTAATTGTTCTTTCATTTTTTAAAAAGAAAATTATATAAAGTACATCAGAAAAAAAAAGGAGAGAAACAATGAAAGAGGAGAGTGATAAACAAAGCTGTTGAATTATGTTTCGATATAACAAATTTAAGGCAAAATGTTTTTGGACTTGAATTGAATTTATTCAAAGTTTTAAAAATGTTTCAAAAATAATTCAAAGTCCATTAAATTCGAATTTGAGCAAAAATGCTAAAGGGTGTCAAAGTGCATCCATGCACCCCTGCAATGCATCCATGCACTCCATTTCGAATACACTTAGTGCATCGATGCATCCTGCTGTGCATCCATGCACGAAGGCTGCAACAGCTAGTAACGGCTAGTTTATTTGAATTTAATGAAGGGGTATCGATGCACCATGTTATAGGCAGCCTTTTTGAGTAGAAAAATCATCCCCAAACGGCTCCAAAACATCCCCAACGGTTATATACGACATCAAACACATTTCAAGCTATAAATACAAGCTAAGGACACTTGAAGAAGAACGAGAACAACTATCCAAGCAATCAAACACAAGAGAAAAGTTTTTCATTCTTATTTCAACTTTCTCTTGTAAATATTTTGTTCTTGTGAGCTCAATCTTGTAAACACCTACCTTAGAGAGGTTTTCTTGTTTACTTATTTTATCCTTTTGTAAAGGGGAAAAGTTATAGCTTATCCCGTGTAAAAGCTAGGGAAAGGTTCTAGTTTAGCCCGAAAAAACTAGGGAGTTGTAAGGTTATCTTTTTGTCCTCAAAAGAAAGAACAAATTAGCGAATTTGTTGGAAAATCCTTGGTGAGGAGCTAAGGTAGTGGACGTAGACTTTGGTTTAGAAAGTCGAACCACTCTAAATCGCTGTGCAATTTTCTATCTTTCAATCTCCTTACTCCCTAAACTCAAAAACCATTCTGACCCCTCTTTGCAAACCGTTCCAGTTGTCGAATCGAGCTTCCGAAAATCCCAACAATTGGCATCAGAGCCTAACTCGTTAAGAAGGTTTAACCACCTTGAGACGATCCTCGAAGAAGCTCTACCAATTTTCGACGCAACCGACAAAGAAATGACTTTTTCCTCCGGTGCTTATTATCTTGAAGAATATCCTATTATGGATTCACAACCGGTCAACAAGCCACCCTTTTTCAATGGAGCAAATTATGCACATTGGAAGAATAAGATGATGTACTTTATTCAATCCTACAATCTAGGAGCTTGAAACTCAATCATGGACGGTTACTCCTCTCCACCCGACAAGTACAACGATTAGAGTAGAGAATAGCAAAAAAAATTTCAGCTTAACTCTAAGGCTATACATATTCTATTATGTGCTTTAGGCCCAAATGAATATGGAAGAATTTCATCTTGTTCTAGTGCCAAAGAGATTTGGAATAAGCTCCAAGTCACTCATGAAGGAACCGACAAAGTGAGGGAATCAAAGAAAAGTCTTCTCAACCATAGCTACGAGAACTTCAAGATGAAACCCGATGAAGACATCAAAGCTATGACGAATAGATTTTCTGTGATTGTCAACGGTCTCAAGGGATATGGAGAAGTAATCCCTAATGAGAAACTTGTGAGGAAGATGATCTACTCTCTTCCAAAGGAGTGGCAATTGAAGAAGACGACCATTGTCGAAGCAAGAAACTTAAAGTCTCTCACTCTCGACGAGCTAATTGGTTCCCTTCTCACTCATGAGATGATGGTGAAGGAAGATGAAGAAAGGGAAAGAAGAAAAACAAGAAGAAGAAGGAGGTAGGCATTGCCTTCAAATCCACCAATGAAAGCCATCAAGATTCAAGTGATGAGGTGGATGAAGACGATGATGAACAAGAAGAAGAGATGATCAAGCTCTTGAAGGAACTCAAGAGATTCATGATTTCCAAGGAAGTGAAACATGAATCAACCAAGAAGAAGAGTCCCCTGGTATGCTTCAATTGTCAAAGAAAGGGGCATGTCAAGTATGAATGTCATCTTCTAAAGAAAAAGGGGAAGAAGGCATTTGTTGCATCATGAAGCGATGAAGATAATTCCAATGATGAAGATGAAGTAGTCAACCTATTCCTCGTGGCCACTCAAGAAGAATTTGAGGTATCTTCTAACTCAAATGAATTTAATTCATTTACTTTTGATGAGAAATGATTTAGAGCTTTCAAAAATCAAAATAAATGTTTAGAAAAGACAAATTTGAGTTAGGAGTTAAGCTTAAAAGCTTAACAAAAGAAAAAGATTAATTTCTAAAACAACCTATATTTAAATGACAAAATGCTCACATTGTCATTTTCATGGTCATAAGGAACATACTTGTCCTTTGAATAAAGGAAAACGTTTTAAAATTAGGCAAGTATTGTAACACCCCCAACCCGTATCCGACCCGAATACGAGTCCGAAGTGTCACATTAACTTTTCAAACATTTATTCGTATAAAATAGTGAGTAATTTAAAAACTTTGATAACATTTAACTTATTCAAAACGTTTACAAAATATATCAGGTTCATACAATTTATATCTTTAGACTACATGCCAACTACACTCTATATAAAAATATATCAGTTCATACAATTTATATCTTTAGACTACATGCCACTACACTCTATATACAGTACATATATTTTCTGATCTGACATTTAGTAAGGAGAATTGACCTGTCTTGCTCCGCATTACTCTTTACTCTTCTCGAAACCTACGTGTGAACCAATCACACGCTAAGTCGTTGACTTAGTGAGGCATATAAACATAAATTTCATATACAAAACATACAAACATATACCATCATTATCATTAAGAAACACACACACATCATATGGTTCATGTAACACATTTTAAAACCACTTATAAACCCATCGTATACATATCACATTCAGTATGCTTGTTTAATCACTTTATTAGCCCATGTACACTAGTGAACTTAAGGTATGAGTACATTGAGGTTGTGCACACATATATTGTACCACACAGCTCGGATCAATGTCCGAAAGACCAGTCCATAGATTTCGAAGAACCTAGGTAATCAGTCAATATGTCCCGAAGAACATAGGTAAACAGTCCATATGTCCCGAAGAACAAGGTAAAACCCTCGACCCTTGGCATGCCACTATACCCCTAGCTCTCATATCACATAAACATAGCATTATCATTTATAATAGTTCACATTACTTATTCATATTCTTTCTCTTATAAACATATCTTTTCTTTTCAGTCACGTATCACATGTACGTGTAATCATTGATCTCATAATCACATGTTCCTTCTCTTCTGTCACATACCACATGTATGTGTAAACATATATCTAATATCATATGTTGCATGTAATCACATAATCGTATCATATAGCTTCTTTCACATACATGTAATCACTTAGTCTATTTTCATGTAATTCTTTTCTCTTCTCATATGATTTTATATTCATATCTCACATAGCTTATATCACCTTGCATTGTTTCATATAAACATAGATGTCATATCTTGTTCGCATATATTTTCTATATAACTCATATATCTCATAGTTCTTTCACATAGCTCACTATCATATTTTCATATCATATATCTTATAATAGATTCTTATATCATCATTTGTTTCCTTTCTACCTTTTCGTAATCACATAACATATACAAAGTATATTCATTATCTTTAGTCATGCATACATACAATCAATGTAATACAGATATCACATATAATTATAACAACACATAATCATCCATGACTTCATGCATATTACTCTAGGAAATAGACTCATCGCAAGTCTTATTTCCATTAAACACTACATATCACTAGTATGCACTCACCTTGGTCTCACTAGTCAATTCCAATCTCTTATATTTCCCTTGATCGATCTTACTTGTCAAATGTTCCGGAATTGCTTTACGCGCAGAATCTATATAAATGTACATTTGAGGCAATCATTAGATACCTACACCTTGTAATTGGATACTAGCAACTTAAACAAACTTATTAAACCAATATTCACATTTTCCTTTAGGGGAATCGGTTCCCTCCTGTGGGGGTATCAGTTCCCCCTTGACATTCTGTAAATTCTGGTTCGCTTGAGGGGGTATCGGTTCCCCTTGAATGGGTACCAATTCCCCTTGCCCATAAATCACATTTTTGAGCTCGAAATTCACTTCGTTTCAGCTTAAACCTTCATATTTTACTTTCTTTAATATTCCTAACTTCCATACACATATTTAAACTCATTTCTATTCCATAATCACTTCTTTAAACCCAAAATTCCATCATTTACATGGCATTCAAAATCACACTAAATTTTCAATGTGTTCTAATTCCAATCTAACACTTCATACTCTTAATTAGATTGTGACAAGTCAAATCATCCATAAAACTTCAACAACCATACCATATCAAAATTTCATCTTAAAACTCATATTACAAATTCCTTCTTAATTCCTTTATCTTATTGTTTAAATCCCATATAAGCTTTCCTTAAGCTTATTTAATACCCAAAGAATCAAAACTAAGCTTAAAACTCAAGAATTGACCAACTGAAATTAAACTTACCTTTGCCATAGAGCTTACGGGAAGAGAGGAGGAAGGAGATGACCCAGCTCCAGAATTTTCTTTTCTTCTCACCCTTTCCACGTTTTTATCACCTTAAAAGAAAGATAAAAATCTTTTTGGTCAAATGACCATTTTACCCTTAATTTCCTTTAATAATTACTAAATAACCTTCAACATATATTTCTAATAATCATTAAATTATTTCATTCTTCTACGTTAGTCACCAAATTCTGAAACTTTTCAATTTAGTCACTAACCCGGTATTACGGATGTTACA